TTTGTTCTGACCTCAGCTGTTCTCAGACATGATCTGAATCAGTTACTTATATAAAAGACAGAAACTCTGTTCTCTTTTGGTGTAATCTTCTCCTCCTCAGATGGTTCTCCCTGACTCTCATGTCGTCTCCTCTGATGTCACTTCCTCTTCCTGCTCCTCTCTGACTGAACTCTGTTGTTGTCGATAAAGGTTATTGATGAGGTGTGTTGCTAACTCACGGTTTGGCGTTCAGCTTCAGGTCAGGAACACAGACGTTATCATCTCCACAGTTCAGGATTATCCTGGTCTGCGCGCACACACACACACACACACACACACACACACACACAGAGTTGGGATCAAACCACCGACGCATGCAGCACGTCACAGACTTGAGTCATAGGTGTAGATGTACAGACTCACCTGTGCAGCAGCGTATGTTTGTCCGTGCAGCAGAGCATTCTGGGTAGTGTTGAGGAGGCTGATGTTCACAGTGATGAAGATCGGACTCAACTTATCCCGAACTTCCTCTTCAGACTGCACACACACACACACACACACACACACACACACGTCAGTACGTCTGTGTTTCTTCTTGTTGTGTTTTTATTTTTAACCGTCACTCACCCTCAGGTAGGCAGTCCGATTGACGCAGGCCATGCCCACCTCTCTCTGAACCCTCAGCTTTATTGTCTCCTGCGGCTGATTGGTCGACAGCAGCAGAGTCCGTCTTGCCATTGGCTGTTTCATCCTGTCCAGCTGTAGCTCCACCCCCAGAGCTGCCTCAGCCAATCAGCAGGCAAACAGAAGAACAGGCTGAGTACACGTTAGACTCTATGTCGATGTTCACAAACGTACAGACGGCGTTGTTTACCTGTTTCCTCTGGGATTCTGTGTCCAGACACGTAGACGCACGTCTGGACGACGAAACTGGAGACGGAAAAATATTTTTATTTGTTTATATTTTACAAGCTCAACATTTGACGCAACACTGACGACACCAAATTTTATTGTCATGGTTCATCCAGGAGATGTTAGCGTGAACCTTTCCAGTGACTCTGGCGTTCTCTCAAGGACTCTGGATCTACTGTAAGGACTGCACTAAATCCCATCAGGTACCACAACAGCTTTTCAAGGACCCTGAAAATCCAAGAGAGACTCCAGGAACCTGTGTCATCAGGTTAAAACTGCTGTCGACCAATATCAGGAATCTTCAAAGAGATCGAGAGTGCTCTGAAGAGCCACTAGATCCTGGAACTCTTTCAAGGATTCCTTGAATCATATTAAAAGAGGATTTTATGGGATCCTGGAACAACATAAAGGAACTAATGAATCTTTTTCAGTAAATCAGGATCACTGTTAAGAAACCCCAAACCCTCTTAAGGACCCTGACAGGAACACTGTAATGAATCTAAGGAGTCTTAAGAGGATCCCGTTATGCCTTCAATGAACAAAACAACACCAGGATCTTTAGGATAGCTCTTTACAAATCTCCTGGAAGTCCTCAGAGGTTCCAGGAACCTTCTCAGGGATCAACAATCCTTCTGAACCACCTGAGAACATCAGGAAATTCTTTACAAAACCACAGAGCTAAGCAGAACCCAGAACACTGAGAGTACCCAACAGGTCCTTCAGACACCACAGGAATCCTCCACAGAGCAAACCCTCAACGTGTCTGTCAGGTCTGAGATTAAAGTTCTACACACATTTAACGAGTATTGATTATTGATCCATGACTTAGATATCAGCTCAGCTCAGTTCTGTCAGAAAACATCAAAACATTCTGTTAAAGACAATGTCAAATAAAAAGTTAGTTCAAGTTTGTTCAGTTTGTAGTTTGTCAGATAATTATCAGAATGATTCACGTACCAGGACACAAGTGAGTTTCCTTTCTGGCACAGTTTGACGTCTGGATTCAGGAAGTCCGGCAGCAGAGAGACGGAAACTGTGGAGCGGATCACGGCCCGGGATCTGAACACAAACATGTAGCTTCAGGATCTTTACTGGTCACAACAGATAGAGTAAGACTGAATCAGACTGGTTCAGACAGGTACAGACCAGTTCAGAATGTACAGACTGGTACAGACTGGTACAGACCATTTCAGACCGTGTAGACTGGTTCAGACTGGATCAGACTGATTCAGAATGGATCAGACTAGATCAGACTGGTACAGATTGGTTCAGACGGGATCAGACTGGTTCAGACTGGGACTTGTTCAGACTTGTCACAGCTGACGGATCAGTGATCAATGACCATGTGAGATCTGAAGGACGGCGTCTCGTACCTGTAAACAAAAGCTCGGTCTGCAGCCCACGCTCCAACCAGCAGGTCTACAAACACAGACAGGAAGTGTCATTGATTACTGATTATTGATTAGTGCCTTTGAAATGGAAAGAACTCTTTAAAGACATCGTTGGACCGTCTGAAGGACATCGAAGGTTCGATGGTCTTTAATGAGGTTCTAAACCCAATGTGACGCCCTCACATGGTCCTGTTGTATTTAAACCTGCTCTCCATGTTTTAATTGTGTCACGTCACTGTCACAGTTCGATCAGCTGATGTTTTTACATGTGCTTCATCAATACATCTGATCGGATCATTGATTGATCTGATTGGTTATTGATCTGAACCAATGCAAAACTTCTGAACAGATACCTGGGTATCCATTCCCGTCCACATCCGTTCCGCCCCTCAGAGAAAACCCAAAAGCCGTCCTGCTGCTGGGCGACTGGCTGTCGATCACCTGGGAGGGCGTGGCTGACAGACCGTTACTGTTGCCAAGGTAGATAAACACCTGGCCCTGCCCACCGTCACCTGACCAGGGAGCTCCGACAGCAACATCTGCAGAGACACAGAGAGACACGTTTATCACTGACTCCAGAGTTCATTGAGTTTTTACTCAGCGTATGTTTAACTGGTTACCATGGTAACCATCCATGTCCAGGTCACCCAGCACAGTGAGGGCGGAGCCAAACCGCCCATACAGGGAGGAGCCAATCAGTGATTGGTCAGGCTGGGAGGAGAAGGAGGTGTGTCTTCTCTGCAGGTACAACAGCACCTGGAAAAGAGATGAAACCAGCATTACATGAAACTGGGACCAGTTAGATCTCTAGGGGAGTACCTTGATTTAATAAGAGTCTCCCACAGGTCATTTCACACAGGGAGCGCTCCTATTGGCTGTTCTACAGACACAGGTGAGCGTGCTCGTCCCTTCAGATGGTGACAGTCTGATTCAAACAGGAAGACGAATCAAACAGAGTCTGATAATAAATGTTTCAGAGGTAGAGATGCTAATTGTTTAGTCCTCTGCTAACAGGAGCTAAATGCTAACAGTTGTTCATGTAGCTAATGTTAGCTTGAGCCTCGAATCACAGCGTGTCCTCGCCTCATTCCGAGAGTGGCGGGGAGCGAGGGGGAGGGGGAGGGAGCGATGTAACAGCTGATTGTTGTCTGATCAGATATAACCAGATCGAGGTGACGAGGAGCTGAGGGGATGAGATCAGATGAAATAAACTAATCTTTGGAAACACTGAGTTACTGAGTGAAGCATGTAGATGTGGGCGTGGTCTCCCTGTGGGAGGGGCTTAGGGTCATGGTGACAGTGAAAAATAAACTGTTTCAGTTCATTATAAAGTTTGTTTGTCTTTGATCAGTGTTCATACCTGACCTCGCTCCTGCAGCTGCTCCATCACTCTGTCCATGAAGAGAGGAGCTCCAACCAACACGTCCTCCAAACTACACACACACACACACACACACACACACACATTAACACACTGGTCCCACTGGGAGGACGGTAAACTCAGTATATGTTCTCACCCGTCACTGTTGACATCAGCGACAGCCACACTGTGGCCAAAGTAGGACGCCACCTGCAGGAGACAGAACAACGTCACACTCAGTTTACACATCAGGACCAGTTCAGACCAGTTCAGAAGGGTTTAAATCTGTGATGACACCAGTTATTGAACTGGTCTGTAACGACCTGCCAGTTTAAAACCCTGTAACTGCAGACAGTGTCTCGTCTCCATGACAACCACTCTCTGTGTTTAGGTTCCATCTCCAAGCAGAGTGATGACATCACCATCAGACAACGCATTCCCACACTGATGACTGATGACATCAATCTCTCACCTGAGTTCCCTGCAAGGTGTAAGAAGCTCTCAGAGATCCGCTGCTTCTGCCATCATAGATCTTGACCTTTTAAAACACACAAACGGAGAACAGAGTCTGGTAGAACCCAAAGGAACAGAGCTCAGGACGGTAGAACCCAGAGGAACAGAGGTCAGGAGAGTAGAATCCGATAAAGACAACAGTAGAACCCAGAGGAACAGACATCAGGACGGTAGAACCCAGAGGAACAGAGGTCAGGATGGTAGAACCTGATAGAGACAACAGTAGAACCCAGAGGAACAGAGGTCAGGATGGTAGAACCCAGAGGAACAGAGGTCAGGACAGTAGAACCCGATAAAGACAACAGTAGAACCAGGTGAGATCTTACGGTTCCTAATGTGTTCCTGTCGTTTGGCGCTCCAACCAGATAATCTGAAAAACATTGATCAGTTATTGATCAGTGATTACTGATAACTGATGGACTGCAGTGATGTCATTGATTATATTGTGTATGACATCATCACACACTGACCTGGGGTGGAGTCTCCGGTCAGCTGACCTGTGGCCACAGAGTAACCTGACAAACGCACACATCAGATAAAGAGTCTCTGAGTTGTTTGGGGCCAAGAACAATAACTTCAGTTTTGTCTGAATTTAACATCAGGAAATTGCTGCTCATCCAAATTTTTATGAATTTAAAGCAGTTATGGAGTTTAGTTAATTGATTACTTTCTTCTGGCTTCATCGATAAATACAACTGAGTATCATCCGCATAACAATGGAAATTTATAGAGTGATTTCTAATGATGTTACCTAAAGGAAGCATATATAGAGTAAATAGGATTGGTCCGAGCACAGAACCTTGTGGAACTCCAAAACAAACTTTAGTACGTAAGGATGATTCAGATGCATTCCCAGTGAATCCTGGGTGATGTAGTACCTGCTGTCCCTACAAAGCTTAACACAGCACAGACCCACACACACATACACAGGCTCTACTCACCGCGGTAAAGGTCGTAACCTCCCCTCTCATCTGATTGGCTGATGCCAACTACGACAGGCATAGGATCGCTGCTCCGCCCACTGCTGATGATGTCACTGACAGCCACCGTGATGACCTGACCTGAAATCAACAAGGAGCTTGTCAGTAAAGACCAGAGAGACTCGGCCTGTGTCAGCAGGGGCCACATTAAAATAAATAACAAACCTAAAGTTTGGAGGAGATCAGTGAGCGCTGCCATCTTGTTTCTACTGATCACCTCTGTTAGTTAACGCCCTCTGTTAATGATTACTTATTAATTGATCACAGCAGTTCTGATCAGTTCACCATAAGAACGTCCCAAAAAAACCTGAAAGGAACCGGCTCAAGAACCCAAGCTGATCTGGTGGAGCAGGAGCATCAGCAGTGATGTCACATAATTAAAAGTGTGTGTGTGTGTGTGTGTGATGTAATAACTGATGTGGGCGTGGCCTATGACCAGTGACCAGCAGGTGTCTCCACTCACCCTGGAAAAAAAAACCTCCTGGAGCTCCGAGCACGAGACGCCCCTCCTACAACACACACACACACACACACACACACACACACACGGACAAGAACTAAACATCATTTTCAGTTAGCATTGACACAAGTGACTCCGCCCACCACCACCTCACCTTAGTGATGTCAGTGCTAAAGCCAACCTCACAGTAGCGCTGGTCGTGTCCTAGGCAACAGGAGAGACAGTGTAAATGATATGTGTGTGTGTGTGTCTGTGTGTGTGTGTGTGTGGGGTGTGTGTGCGTGTGTGTCTGTGCGTGTGTGTGAGTGTGATTCACTGTTGTTTATCCGTTTGTAGTCGGCGTCCATCATCCCTCCTCTGCAGGGGGAGAAGGGGGTGGAGCTTCTAGTCCTGTGGTCCAATAGGAGGCAATTCCCCACAGGTGTTTTCCCTGACTCCTCCCCTCGCCTCTGAGCAATCCAGTGAGAGAGCGGTGCACAAGCCTGACAGGTGAACACATTCACGCTCAGGTCATTACATAATCACTCTTCCTCCTGTGTTTCCTGTTTTCATTGTAAACAAACAATAAACACCCTGCCGCAGAGTCGGAGAGACCCCGCGTGACTCTCAGTTTGATGTCGTACAGACGGAGACTGATCAATTCATATTTTAGATATTTGTTGTAAAAATAGTGTTAGCCTTGTGCTCACAGTTACTTGTTTAAAGCAGAAGATAGTTCACATTTATACCAGCTAGCATACTAGCTAGTTAGCTAACGCTGTCTGCTAATCAGCTCCTTTATCGTGGATCATGAAAGGATATAGGAACATTTTAGGAGCACTGAGAGGAAACGTTCTGTGTTCAGATGATTAAACAGACGATGGATCATAGATGTTTGCTTCTGGCTGCAGCGTTAGCTCGCTGAAAAGTTTACACTCTTAACATGTTGATTGAAAACGTCTCCGTCTGTTGAAACTTTGACTCGGATTAGTGCTAAAATGATCTTCTACTAAATCTCATCTTCCTGCACATCGCTCTCGCTACATTAACTCTTCCACTGCCAACAACTTCAGCGAGGCTTTCATAGCTGCCCTTGATACATGCACTATTGAGTCCTCTCCTCCCCATCTCAGCACCGAAGAACTCACTTCCTTATTTAACATCACCTATTCCTCAATTCTGGACACCGTCACTCCCCTCAAACTTAAGAATGTCCCCTGCTAAGTGCGAGGAATTTTTTAACAATTTCTACCAGTAAAATTGATAACATCAGATCTAACATCCCCAGCCCCTCCCATAACCTTGCTGCCCCACTGGCCTGCTCATCTGGACTGGTCTGCTTCCAACCCATCACACTTTCCTTCATGACCAAGATTGTTTCCTCCAAGAAACCTACGATTTGCCCCCTTGACACTGTCCCCTCCAGGCTCCTGAAGCATCTGCATCCTCTCCATTGTCAATAGCTCATTGGCCACTGGTATTGTTCCAGCTTGCTTCAAGCAGGCAATGGTCCAACTCCTCCGGAAAAAACCCCCAACTTAGACCCCTCCATGCCCAGCAACTACAGACCTATCTTGAAACTTCCATTCCTCTCTAAGTTTCTGGAGAAGGTTATTCTCCATCAACTGCGGACCCACTTATGTCAAAATAATTCCGGAAAGGTTTCAGTCTGGGTTCAGGGCCGATCATAGCACAGAGTCTGCCCTGCTGAAAGTGCACAACGACCTGTTACTCTCTATTAATGCTGGAAACTATGCCATCCTGGTTCCTGGTTTTTGACCTCAGCGCCGCATTCAACACTGTGGATCACAACATCTTTATCAAACGCCTCCAGTTTGGTGTCGGCATCAGTGGCACTGCATTACACTGGTTCACTTCCTACCTCAAAAATACAAGTTTCTGAGTCAGCATGAGAAATCACTCCTC